ATCAATCCAGGATGGATATATAAACAAGAAATACTCCCGCGGTCGAGAAAAGGTTCGTCAATTTGACTTTTCATTATCAATGACAATCAACTTTGACTAATGATATTTTTTAATACGAAAATATTTTGAATATAAAAATTACATCAAAATGTTCTTACTCGATATATTTTCGTAAAAGTATAAAATTTATAATTTATATACAAATATAATAATAAAAATCATTGTCCAAAGTTGCCATCATTAATTACCCAAAAAAAGTCAATCATGGCGAACCTTTCCAGTACGGATGTAATATTAACCGTGTAATCAGGAAAGTTTTATAAGTAGTAAGTAAGTTACATTACGTATACTACTCCCTCTCTCCCGCTAAAACTTTCTCATTTTTACTTTTCGTAAAATCCCACTAAGATTGTCTCATATTAGGGGTGGGTTCGGTTCTTGCGGTTCGGTTTTGACCTAAAATTAAACCAAATATAGAATCGAAGTAAAAAATTCGGTTTGGTTTTACACTTCAAAACTTGGAACCACGATTTGATTGGTTCGGTTTGTTTCAATTCGGTTTCGATTTTTTCGGTTTTTTAACAAAAAATATCATTTGATTTAAATCTGATATAATACTTTGAGGGATCAAACATATACTATGTATTATATAAAGAATGCAAGCACACTAAAACAAATAAAATTAAAATAAAAATAAATAAATAAATAAATAAATAAATATGTCATGAATTATATGAGTATGCGAGAGAGATAAAAGTATATATATTATCAATTTACATTGTTTGTGACTAGTTCAAAAAAAGTTCATGATTATATACGTTCTATGTAATGTAGTTGAGATGAATATTCATTGTTTCATCAACATGAATTCTTTAAGTTAAATAAAAATAAAAGTTAATTAATTCTTCATACTAATAACTAGTAAAAAAACATATTATCAGTATAGCTACATTATTATAGGCAATGAATGTGTAAATGAATTCATAAACTAAACTAAATATAACACAAACATTACTTCTTGATCTAGCACAAGAAAACCAAAGACTATTAATGATATTAGGAATAGTTAAGATTAATGTCTAACAATAGCCAAATAAATTTTATATTTTAATTAATTCGGTTTGTTCGGTTCGGTTTTGAAGGGTAAAAACCAAAACCGAACCAAACAACTACGGTTCGGTTCGGTTCGATTTTTTACATTCGGTTTAGGTTTGTTAGCGGTTCGGTTTTATTTGGCTACGGTTCGGTATGATTTGGAATTGATTCGGTTTTCGGTTTTTCGGACCCAGCCCTATCTCATATCGAATTTGGGTTTGTGTGACTGTAAAGCTTTTTTACTTTATTCTATTTTATCAATTCAATACCCAAAACTCATCCAAAATTAGAAAAGCAAATCTAACTATAGATAATACACTAGACGAAGTACACGTGCGATGCACGATATATATTTAGAAATCTAGAATAGAACAACAATTTGTTTGAATTCTCTTTTATTGCGATGATATATATATATATATATGTAATATACCGAGTATAATTTTGTTATATATATAAAAAGTTGGTAGGGTTTATAAATTGTAGCTTTGATTATATAATGACACTTTGTAGGAAAAGGAAAATGTAGATCATACAAACAATTTCAAGTAAAATAGTACGTAGTAAAAAAGATGAGATAGCATGATTGAATTGTTTCTTCGTTGATTCTCAAGGAGATTTATTTATGTGTGTTACTATCTTTAAAAATAGAAATAATGACAAATATGTGACATAAATAGAAGTAGTGAACAAAAGTATGACTTAGCGACCATCATAGTGACTTTAGTGACCATGATTGTCTTTAACTCTATAACTATAGTGACCTGCATAGTAACTATAGTAATATTTTTGCCCATTAATTATATTTCGGTAATATTTGTGAAAAAACTTCTTTAAAATATTCTACCTTGTTGTTGGGTGTTTATCTGCGGCTATTTTTAGCTATTTAAGAGGTCCCAAAAAGTGTTTTTATTCTCAAAATTGGCTCTTAATTTATTTTATTTTAATAAGAGGTCAAAGTAAGCAAGTCATTTTTTTTAGCATGGTCATTTATCATTTTTAGACAAATTTTATTTAGTCTTCTAAGTGGGAGCTAGTGGCTAGTGCACGTGCCTTTCATTTAATTAGATAAAGATTCTTCTTTTCTTTTACTTGCAGCAAAAAAAACGCACAAGCCCAAGGAGGAAACCGACGTTTAGAAAGAAGGCAAGAAATCAGGAAGGAAAAGAGAAAAGAAACGGGAGTTTCCGAATCGGCTTTGATCGGTTGAGAAAGTTTCGGGATCGCAGCAACGGACGGAGTGATTCTCGACCAGAGATGGACGGTTCGGAATAGGGCGGCTGCAGCAAAAATAAATACAGCAAAAAGAAGAGAAAAAACACAGCAGGAAAAGGAAGGATTAAAGAAGAAGAAACGCTGCAGCGTGGTCAAGAAAGAAGAGAAGAAAGCAGGGGCGCGGACCATCTAGAAAAAGAAAAGAAGAATCTTTAATTTCTGCAATTTTCAGTTTAATTTGATTGTGTTTTCATTGCTAGATGAATACCAGTAGCTAAACCCTTAGTTTTCCGATTCCAAGTTAATACTTTGTAGTTTAATTCGTGAGATTTTTATGCTTAATGATTTATTTGCCATAGTATTCTATATTTTTGTGAATTAATTTCAGTTGAATTCATGAGATCAGTTAATTTGGATGCATACTGATTTACTATTCTTGTGAGTTTATTGCTAGTTGAAATCTGATTTGTTGAAATTAGGGTTCATCATAGTAGTGACTAGGTGCTTACGAACCATCTAGAAAAATATAAATACGAATTGAATATTCACCCGTTTGGGAAATATTATTCGTGTTGGCTGAAAATTCACAAAGATTAATGCGATTGAGCCTTGAATCTTAAACGTTTGTTCTAAGATTGGGAATCAATTAGACTCAATTGACGGCGTTTGTCGCTTTTAGGTATAATAATAGGTGAATTGGATATTAGTTTGCGTTTGCAATTAATCTACGCCAACTATTATGATGAATAAATTACTTTTTTCAATGATCGATTAAACTTACATGAGTTAAAACTTGGAATTAGAAATCTCTATTTATATAATCTAAATCTCTATTTACGTACTCTTTAATCTACTTTATACATACTTTGAATTTTTAATTTTTTTTCGATTTAAGAATATTTGATTTTAATAAATTGAGAATTAGTAGTTAATCATCCAAACTCTCTGTGGGATCGACCTGAACTTTCCATATCTACATGTTAGTTTAGTTTATTATTTGGTGTTAAAACGACACACACCAAATTTTTTGGCGCCGTTGCCGGGGACTTAAGTAGATTAGCTACTTCTCTCTTAAGTTACTAGTTTAAAAAAAAACGTTTTTTCTCTCAAGTTATTTATAGTTTTAGTTATTTTTTATTGTGCTAATTTTATTATTAAAGACTTTGTCGATGTACAGATTGAGATAGTGCTTGACCAGAAGAACTGAGGGCCTATCTCCTGAAGCTTCGTTGAATCTTGAAATTGAATCATTTTGTAGGAGATCAGACAGAACGCTCAAAAAAGGAGAGCTCGCGCAGCAGAACGTGAAGCAATGGCTAACGATGCGAATCGCACCATAAGGAATTTGGCAATGCCAAACCTGGACAATCAACCACTTTGCATTCAATATCCAGAGCTCGAGGCTGCCTTGGAACTTCGGTCAGGCCTAATTCAACTTCTGCCTAAGTTTCATGGACTGCCAGGAGAGGATCCACACAAGCATTTGAAGGAGTTCCATGTTGTTTGTTCCACCATGAAGCCTACTGGAGTGCCTGAAGATCATATCAAGTTGAGAGCTTTCCCCTTCTCACTGGATGGTGCAGCTAAAGATGGGGTTTTTACGAGAATATTACTAAAATAAAACTTATTTACATAAATATGACTATTCATTACTACAACGTAGTGCTGTGGTAACTAAAGTTCAAAACTTGAATATGAATTACTATGATTTCATTACTACTCTAGTAATGAATCATATTTTTTTAAATCATCTTTATTTTGGTCATATTTATGTAATTATTTCGCTAAAGATTGGCTCTATTACTTGCCAAGCAGGTGCATTACATCTTGGAATGATATGAAGAAAATGTTCTTGGAGAATTACTTTCCAGCCACCCGGACAACTGTTTTGTGGAAGGAGATTTGCGGAATCAAGCAAATGCCTAGAGAGACCCTCTATGAATACCGGGACAGATTTAAAAAATTATGCCAGATTTGTCCTCACCACCAATATACTGACGTTTAATTGATTCAGTATTTCTATGAGGGTCTACTACCTGTTGATCGAGTGATGCTTGATGCTGCAAGCGGAGGAGCCCTCATTGATAAAACACCGACAGAATCCTGGAAACTGACTGATACTATGGCTGCTAACTCGCATCAATTTGGTATGCGTCAAGATGTTGGCGTTATGAAAGTGAACGAGATAGCAAGTTCAAATCTTGAGCAACAACTTGCTGCCACAAATCATCAACTTTCACAGCTCACTACTTTGATGATGACTCAAATGAACCTGCAGCAAACTAAAAATGTGTGTGGTGTTTGCTCTTCTAATTCTCACTACATTGATCAATGTCCATTGCTTCAAGGGAAGACGGAAGAAGCTAATGCAATGGGGTTTCCCGGTTCTTCACAACACAGATTTGATCCTTTTTCGAACCCCTATAATCTAGGATGGAAGAGCTACCCGAATCTGAGCTATGGCAATAACAACAACTCAGCCTTTCAATCTCAGTCGCAACATATGCCTGGACCAGGGAGTTCTCAATGTCACGCCCCAGACCGCATCTGAGCGCGTGTACAACCGTCGTTTGACTAAATGACGTCACCCGCGAGTCAACGTGACTTAGTCAAACAAGGCATCCATGAACATACTCCATACCGTACTCAGTAAGTAAACATACATAACAACATCACATATTTGGATTGAACGAATAACGGAAATATTCAATATTCAATCATGGGCCACACATGGCCAAAACGTAGGCACGCAGGCCCAAAACAAATGTATTTATTACAAAGTATCCATGAGCATAGTTTATAGTTTAAAAACAATAAAGGAAGCACGAACCACGTCTCCCTTTAGATCACTTCACCGAGCAAGGTGAGAATAGCAAACTTGAGCTTCAACCTGAAATGGTGGCCCCCCCCAAAGGGGTCAGTACAAGTACCGAGCGAGTAGCAAGCTAAATGTAGAATAACTAACGTTTCAAGTATAAGACCCAAGCATAGGATGATACATATATGTATAGTCTTTCCCCCAAGTTTTGAAATACATATTAGCATATATACACTTGGAAATACCCGACCCATAGGTCATTGTTTATTTGGGAAAATAATAGTAGCCAATGTCCTTGACTTAAATCCCAACCCACCCATATACCTATGAGTGTATAGAACTCCTCCTTGTTCAAATAAATTATCATAAGGACACCACCCGGTCCTAAATCATTAAAATGTAATCTATGAGTTTTGAGGATACATGCCCGATCCTTGGGTACTCCACCCTATAACCGAGTTTTGAGGATAACCGCCCGATCCTTGGGTACTCCACCCTATATAACCGAGTTTTGAGGATAACCGCCCGATCCTTGGGTACTCCACCCTATATAACCGAGTTTTGAGGATAATCGCCCGATCCTTGGGTACTCCACCCTATATAACCGAGTTTTGAGGATAACCGCCCGATCCTTGGGTACTCCACCCGACCTATGACTTACCACATATCACACTAGATAGGGTCTATATCATATTATTACTAAAGACTAAACCAAGCCTTAGAATTCAATCAATAGGTATCAACCTTGACATTTAAATGTCATATTCCATGCAATTCCATGCATAATATACTTATATAGGATGGTTGGGGTTAATCCCCCCTTCGAACCAGACCCCGAACCACATTTTCGGCGAAAACGGAATTCGGTGGCCGCAGCATCTTAACCGGCACCGGTTATGCCCTATAACCGGCGCCGGTTATGTCCGGGACTTTAGGTCAACGGCCCGTTGACCCCCGAGTTGACCCCCGAAACGTGCTCCGTATGGCCCGAAATTTTGATACAACATATATCATGTCTAAAACAACAAATAAATGCCATTTTGGTCATCCAAAACATCACAAATGTTTTTATACATTTTTCATACTTTTCACATGCATAACCATGTAGTTTCATTCACATAAGCCTAATTACCTTGGCCAATTACATGTTTAAACTCTCTTAAACATCATTATGAATACTTATAACATTTATTTAGGTAATCTCATACTTAACCCAAGAGTTATAAGACATTAAGCCGTCCACTCACCTCGAATGAGCGTGATGAAGTTCTGCCCTTCTCGGTTGAACTCCGTTGAAACTCCGACAAACTTTGACGAACTCTGGTGATAACTCCGGCGACTCTTTAAACTTCGTGAAGGCTCTTGAATCACCTTTGACAAGTGCCGAACAAGGTTTTATCATCACAAAATCCAAATTAATACAAATAACCTCTAAAAGGTTATTTTCCGATGAACCGGTCTCTTCGGCCTCTAAGTCCGTTCTTGGACTTGGAACCATCTTTTAACCCCTTTTTCTACACCTTTAACATGTATAGAAATCCTAGGGTCCTTCATGCCATCCTTAATTAATAAGTTGTCCAAGAAAGGAGAAGAAAAGGTTAATGAAGTCATCACCTTAATTCCTCAAGCTTTTCTACACATTCAACAACTCAAACCCCTTCCTTGAGCTCCCCCTTGCTTGGCTTGCCTTTAGCTATGGAAGAACAATGTTTGTAGAGCTCCTTTCCTAGTCTTGAGGATGCTTGGTCGAAATTTAGTGGGTGAGGGGAGTAGGGATTGTCTTTTTGTCCCTTTGGACCAATGAGTGTGGATGGGAGACCCACCTCATGTCCTTGAGATGCCTTCTCATTCAACTCAACATCACCCCATCCCTCTTCTCTTATTTCAGCCGCTCAAATCCTTGAGTGTTGTGACCAAAATCGTGGGTTGGCCCCCACACATGTGGGAGGTCAACCATTTAAGTCCCGATGTGTGCAATCGGTCTCGAAAGTTGTATTTCTCGGACAGTTTTAATTATATTTTATTTTATCGGGTCAAATAAAATATATTACATGTTCACAATCATCATGGATCTTAAGGATGAATATACATCCCCCAACTTTAATTTAAAAGTCTCCGAAATTCATTTTGGACAGTTATCTGATAAATTGCCGATATTGGTAATTGGGCTCTGTTTGACCAACCGGTTATCCCAATGCCTTTCTTATGGCCCATCATGAATTTCCACCACCATGTAACTATTATCTAGACCAAGATGGATATAACATGTGGTCTCGTGTTATCGGGTTACCCCCCCCCCCCCCCCCCCCCCCCCCGCTCCGAGTGTGGGCCCCACGTGGAATTTACTATTCACGCAAAAGAAATAACAAAAATTTACAACCTCGTAAATTCATTAACCATTTCGTAAGTTTCAATACATAATTTACATAAAAGTAAATATACTTGGGGACGGTGTTACAAGTTCACCCCTCTTATTTGGGATTTCGTCCCTGAAATCAACGTGTCTAATCGAAAAGAAACGGGTATTGCTCCCTCATTGAGACCTCGGTCTCCCAGGTTTCTTCTTCGACTCGATCACTTCTCCACAGTACCTTCACCATAGGAATCTCCTTGTTCCTAAGTTTCTTCACTTGCTGGCCCACTATCTTCACCAATTCCACTGCGTATTGCAAGTCCTCTCGGATCTCCACCGGTGGTTTCTCAAGGATATGTGATGGGTCCCGCACATACATCTTGAGCATCGATACATAAAATACATCATGAATCTTCTCAAGTTCAGGTGTCAGCTTGAGGCGATAGGCTACGACCCCAATCCTCTCCAGGATTTCAAACGGACCAATGTATCGGGGGTTAAGCTTACCCCTTGATACGAATCAGATGATACCTTTCCAAGGAGAAATCCTTAGAAAGACTTCATCCCCGACCTCAAACTCCAACGGCCTCCGCCGTTTGTCTGCATAGCTCTTCTGCCGATCTTGGGCAGTCTTAAGTCTGTCACGAATGATTTTCACCTTAGCCTTGGTGATCTCAACAAGTTCTATTCCCTCGAGCTTGGCCTCACCAACCTCGTCCCAACACAATGGTGTCCTACACTTCCTCCCGTATAGTGCCTCGTACGGAGGCATGCCAATACTTGCCTGATAACTGTTGTTATAGGCAAACTCCACCAAAGTCAGGTGTTTGTCCCAACTCCCTTGGAACTCCAAGGCACATGCCCTAAGCATGTCTTCCAAAATCTATATCACCCGCTCAGATTGTCCATCTGTCTGTGGGTGAAAGGTTGTGTTAAACTTCAGTTTATTAGCACCCAATGATGCTTGGAACTTTGGCCAAAACCTGGATGTGAATCGTGGATCCCTATCCGAGACAATGGATATCGGAACTCCATGCAATCTCACAAACGAACCCTAACTTCTTCACTATACATCTTCTCATACAGTCTTAGCAGAATAGACCAAATATAGTACGGAGTACTTTGTAGTATTAATGCACAAATATAATACTCTGTAGTATCAATTCCGCATATACTCCCTCCGTCCCATTGGAATTTGCCAACTTCCCATTTTTGGTTGTCCCAAAAAACTTTGCCACTTTCCTATTAAAGCAACTAATTTGTGGTTCTGCACATATCTCTCTCCTCTGCACAAATCTCAACCACACAGTTTTTACTATTTTTATTTCTCACCTACTTTGCACTTGGCAAAGTCCACCGAGACGGAGGTAGTAGCTTTTTTAGAAAGTTATACACAAACTTTACAAAATACAGTGCGCTTTAAAATCTGAAGAGCAAATTTGATATACCTGAAAAAAAGGTTTTAGTTATACATTTGTTGGGCTTCATATCATTCATTTTAATATTTTAAAAAATTCAGAAATCACATTTGACATTCCTAATTTTCTATTTCACAATTCAAAGCACACAATTACACACATCAATTGTGACGCACTAAGTCACTAACACAAACTAACTTAACAAATAAAATACATAATTAATCTAAAAAAACTGCAAAAACAAAAATTAAAAACCCCCTTAATTACCTCGGCCGGCGCAAACGAGCAGAAGGCAGAAGCATTGAGCTTGAGGAGAGGAGAAACGCCAAATTGACTGTGTCGAGAATGTAGTCCAAGAGAGAAGAAGGAACCAGTCAAGCACTCAAGAGAGAGGAAAACAACAGTCGGCGAGTAGACGGCGGGTCGGAGACGTCCGGGGATTCGGCGGTGTTGGTTGAGCCGCTGAGGCGTGCGTTAGTGCGTCAGGTAGAATCGTAGTGATGCCCGTCTTTGCCTGGGCTGCTAATGCGATTCTTTTCCTTACATTACTTTAGAGCTTGGACTGTTTTACACAATTATACCGAGCCATAATGTTTGTACACTGGGCCGGTTTTTTTTTTTTTGCACTGGGTCATTTCTAAAAAAAATAATTTAAACTATATACATAATATAAAATTAAAAAAATTGCCTTGGGCCATGGCCCAGTTAGGCCACACCCTCCCTCCGCCCTTGCCCTAGATACCGCCACATAAAATTGATCATGGGCAAACACAGGGCAATGTAAGAAGATGTCTACTGTTTCAAGTGACTGACCCTGACTCTGGTTGATGGTCATCATGGTGTTTCTCATTCAAAATTTATTTAGAATACTATCTGTTAATTCCCAAATCAACAGTGGAACAATGTAAACTAAAACCGTATGTAGAAGAACAAATATCAAAACAACAACCTTTAATTATATTTATTGAATACTCAGAATGATAAATCATGATGATGAAGTACAAAGTATTCGATCAATAGACCTTTTAATTATTCAAAACAACAACTTTTTTTTAAAAGCTATACGTTTTTAATTTTGTTGAAAAACTATACGTTTTGGCACACTAATTTTTTTATTTATTCTTAAAAGAACAATAAATTTTTAGCGAAAGTAATTTTTTACCGTAAAAATTTCATCTACATTTTAATAATAAATTTTTTTTATTGATATAAATAAAAAGGTTTATTTCGATGCAACAGTCTCCTTCTAAGAGTTTAAGTGATAGTATTTGTTGGGTGTGTTTCGGAAAATAAAGAAAATTAATTAAAATAAATTAATTAAATAAAATGACTAGAGAAAAACAAGAAAGGAGATGAAGCAGAATTAGTCAAAGCTCGTGCTACGCACGATGTCCTTAAAACGTATTTGTTGCCTCCCACGGTGCTAGGAGCGTTGCAACAATCGTTTCCCAGGATACGATGACTACGAACTAATGCTTGAGCACACAAACAAAAGTTCCAGCGAACGAGAACACAGTATGAACACAGAGGAAGTTTTCAGAATGCTAGCAGTGTGTTTTTAGAGCTAAAACGTGTATGGACATCAATGACCAGTCCGTTGGGCATTGAATTATCCATGAACTGTCCGGAGCATCTCTGGTCGTGGCCTTCTGCCCGGAGCAATTCTGTCAACTTGGGAAAAATTATACGTTTCGGGAAGAAAACAAAAATTACCCGTATCTCTTGAGAGATGGATTTTTGGACGACAATCGTGTCCGCAGGTCGCCCGCGCACGCAAGTCGCGGTTTTTCTTCTCCGAATTCGGGATTTGATTTGCACCCCCCCCCCTGCGCGCGTGGAGAGAGCCTTTACCCTTAGGAATCTTAACTCCTTAGGGGAGAGTCCCTTTATAAAGGGTTGCAAATCCCTTGGGTTTTCCGGTGTGGGAAATTAACACACTAGAAACCCATCCTTTTTCCCAGTTTTTCCATTCTAACGGGTAAACTTCGAAAAGCGATTTCTCATTCACCCGTTATCCGTTTTGAGCGTACCATATATCGAATTGTAGCCCTTAACAAGGACAATCCGAAACCACTTTGACCCGACCCAAACCGGAAGTGGACCCCACTCAAAAAATTACCCCAAAATAGCCATTTAATGCAATTTTTCACACATTTTTTCCAACAGTATTACATTTCTAAGACTGTTGCAACATTTTGATACAATGGTCAATACTATTACATTTTTATTGATAAAAATTTAGACATAAACAACTCCGACCCGCCGTCTACTCGCCGACTGTTGTCTCCTTCTAAAAATAGTATTGATAAAAATGTCTAAATTTTTATCAATAAAAATGTAATAGTATTGACCATTGTTTACAACAGTCTCCGTTCTTTTTTAGTTGCAACAGTCAACATTTCACGTTTGCCAATGCACAAGTTTGACCATTAATATCTTTCACTCCTTATTAGGAAAAAATTTAAAAAATTCATATTTTGAAAATTTAGAATGAGAAGAATTTAACAATATTTTTAAAAAATTTAATGTATAATACGTTAATTAATAAAATATAGTCAAAGTAGAATGTGTGAATAGTGTAAAACGTCCAATGTTGCAATTAAAAGAGAACGGAGGTAGTATATATTAGATGAAACTTGTATGCGAAACGTTACTCTCATTCAAAGTTACGTAGTATAATTTATTAATTCATATAAGAGAAAAAAAATTAGTGTGCCAAAATGTATAGTTTCAATAAAATTCTAAATGTGTTTAGAATGGGATGGACAATATGTGAAAATAATATTTATATATTAAAATGTTAAATAATATTGATAGATTTTATGAATATTTCACAAATATTTAATATTATTTGTATAATATAATAACAACAATAAAAATAGCTATTGTTGTAATTATAAATTTATTTATATTCAATAATACAAATAAGGCAAATCTTAATAGTCTACATACAATGCAAAGAAGAAGCTTACGCCATTAACGTTTAGCCAAGCTGGGAGACGGGAGACCCATTGTT